GATCCTGTGACAGTGCAGAAATAAATTGCATAAAGTATTTAAAGAAAAAATGTGATCCAATGATTTTATATACCTAGCAACACTGACTTGCAGATATAAAGAGTACAAGCAGGCAAGCTACATGCAAGAACTGAGGAACTATCATAATATGTTCTTTCTAAGTAATATATTTGAGATAAGCTTGATAAGTGGAATTGTGTTTAGAATATGAAATTTTAGAAAGATCCAAATTGAGAACTTGTCAATTCATAAATTTTAAGTTAAAGGGATTGGAAGTGGGACTTACCTAAAAAGCTTTAAAGGTATAAAATTTGGCCTCCGGCTGGGTAGCTCAGTTGTTCTAATACACCCAGGCTGCATATTCAATCCCCAATCAGGGCACATACAAGAATCTACCAATGAATGCATGTGTAAACTGGGACAACACATAGTATGTCTCCCTCTTCCTCTATTAAAAAAAAAAAGACATTAAATTTGTTTTAATGGGTAAGAGTATACTGTCTAGGGATACACATTTAAATGATAGAATTACTTTAAAATGAAGAAAGTGATAACTACAGAGGAGTTACTCATTTGCTGGGGGAAGAAAAGAGATTTGAGAAATGCACATAGGCTTCTGTGTTTTGAGATTTTGTAGAGATTAAGCTGTTTTGGCGCTTTCATACCTTTTTACTCACTGTTGGAGCAGGCAAAACTGCCCATTTTAACTGCCTTTTTAATTTTTTTTTTCTGTATTGATTTTAGAGGAAGGGAGAGGGAGAGAAACATTGAGAGAGAACATCAATTGGCTGCTTCCTGCATGCCCCGCTATCCCCAACTGGGGTTTGTTTCACAACCTGGGAATGCGCGGAAACCTGGAATCAAACTGGCAACCTCTTAGTGCGTGAGTCAATGCTCAACCCCTGAGCCACTGTTGCCAGCTTGCTTTTTTTTTTTTTTTAATGCATATTGGTTTGCCTTTACCAGCTTGCTTTTTTTTTATATATATATATCCTCACCTGAGGACATTTTATTTTATTTTTTTGCATTTATCTTCAGTTAGAATGGGAGGGAGAGAGAGAGAGAAACATCGATGTGAGAGAGAGACACATCGAGTGGTTGCCACCCACTCACACGACCCTGGTTCACAACCGGGGCCTGGGACAAATTGCAACCGAGGTACGTGCCTTAAGAGGAACCGAACCCAGGCCTCTCTGGTCCGCGGGCCGATGCTCTAACCGCTGAGCCAAACAGGCCAGGGCCCAGCTTGCATTTTGAGAGTTGATTGGGATACCTTGACACAAAGTTTTGTTGTAAATACTGTACATAGGTATTTGGCTTTATTATCTGGTTGCTTTTATGTAAGGATTCAGAAAAATTCCAGAACTATGGTGTGCTGTTGATGCTGTCTTTCAGGAATCCGTTATTTTCCAGTAGTCTCTCTATTTAGGATATTGACCATTTTTCTCCCCATAGCAATCAGATAGGGTGAAGTGTGACCTGAGATCATTTGATAATTTCCAAAATTTTTGGAAATCTCTTCTCTCTCTTCAATAAAAATTTAAACAGCAGTACCACTAGAAGAATCATGTTTCCGTTTGTCCCCTGAAGTAGCCTTGGTGCCTGGCACTTAAATATTCAATGAAAAAATAATTTGGGCCCTGGCCGGTTTGGCTCAGCGGTTAGAGCGTCGGCCTGCGGTCTTGAGAGACCCGGGTTCGGTTCCCGCTAAGGGCGCGTACCTCGGTTGCAGTTTGTCCCCGGCCCTGGTCGGTTGTGCGGGTGGCAGCCACCCGATGTGTTCCTTTCACATCGATGTTTCTCTCTCTCTCTCTTCCTCTCTCTCCCTCCCACTCTACCTGAACAAAAATTGAAAAATGTCCTCCGGTGAGGATTAAAAAAAAAGAAAGAAAAAGTAATTTGGCCCTGGCCAGTTTGGCTCAGCGGTTGAGCATCGGCCTGCAGAACAGAAAGTCCCGGGTTCGGTTTCCTTTAGGGGCACGTACCACTAAAAAAAAATAAGAAAACAGAAAGAAATAATATTTTTAGCAAATTGTAGCAAAGTTTAATTTTTTAGGAGGATGTGTTCCTAGGAGTGGGATTAATGAATCATCTGCCTTTAATGTTAATTATATATATATATATGTATATATATTTCATCCTCACCTGAGGACATTTTTTTATTTTTTGTTCAGCTAGTGGGAGGGAGAGAGGGAAAGAAACATCGATGTGAAAGGGACACATCGCTTGATGTTTCTCTCCCTCTTCCTCTCTCTTCCTTCCACTATCTCAACAAAATATGGGAAAATGTGTTCAGGTGAGGATAAAAGAAAAAGGGGGGGACACATCGAGGGGCTGTCACCCACACAACCCAACCAGGGCTGGGGACAAACTGCAACTGAGGTACATACCGTTAGTGGGAACCAAACCCGGGTCTCTCTGCACTGCAGGCTGACGCTCTAACTGCTGAGACAAATGGACCAGGGCTCATTAACGTTTTATTTAACATTTTTGTGCCAAATTTAGAGACCACACATTATCAAAGAAAATGGGAAATAAAATCCTATCCTTGAATTCAGAGATGACAACCATTGTTGGCACCTTTTTATTTGTATTCTTAGATGTCTCTCTACCAGTCTTTTCAAATGGGGTTTCTTGATAGAATTAAGCCCTAATATCCTAAGGCAGCGTTTTGCTGCAACACACTGGTATTTCCTCAAAAATTTTTAAAATCTGCAATACTGGATGGTCAGGGGTACTGACCTCATTTCTCTTAGATTCTCAAAAAAAAAAAAAAAAAAAAAATTTAAAACAGCCAATACAGCAATAGCCATCCAGTATGAGTGAATCAAAATTACATGTATTTTTTTGTCAGAATTTTAGTAATTTATGTGTACCCTGAGATGAAAAAGGTTGAAAATCGCTGCCCTAAGGCATTCTTTATATGTGATAAATTTTATTATCTTGATTGCTATTAGTTTTGTAGCATCCTTATGAAAATTGAGGAAATAGTCATTTAAATTCATTTCTGTTCTGTGATTCAAAGGTGGAGTATATTTGAAGGGGATGAGTATAAGTGAAAGAGACATTAATGTCTACTTGTTTTCACCTCACGTTCGATGTGCTGGAAGCATGTAGAATCCACCATCTTTAGTAGGTTTAATTCTTGGTGGTCTAAGGATTTCTGGCACTCACACTTACAGTCAAAAGGCTGTGGGTGATTCTCAGTGGTACTGTTTGGTAAATTTTTATTGTTTAGTATAGAAAAAATGATTAAGAGCTACTATTTATATGAAGATATAATTTAGAAACCAAAATAGAATAGACAGATTGTGTTTTGAATTTCAGAAATGCTAGGAGAGAAAAAGCAGTTTCATCTTTAAAAACAGTACTGCTTGTGAAATGACTAGATATTTAATGGGTCAGGATTGTAGTGATCATGTATACATGATATATATACTACTTATTATATGTGTATATATAGTACATTTTAGCATGAGTCATGAAAATTTGTCATTCTCAGAGATTGAAAAAATAACATTAGACACTGGTATCTTTAAATTAGTATTAGGAATGTTTTTCTAAATCTAAGGTGGGTCCATCATAACTGTTTTGAGTATGGTGGTTGGAGTGGCAAGGGGCAGCAGATTGATACAAAAGCTGAAAGAATGCCAAACATTAAGATTGAGTCTAACATACATAAAGATAATTTTTGTTTTGAAATATAGTGGAACCTCGGTTTTTAAACTTCATTTGGTCCGGAAGGCTGTTTGAAAGCAGGAACATTTTTTTCCCATTAGAAATAACGTTAATTGATCTGTTCCAGATCCCCAAAATGGTGCCCTGTTTTAATCTGTAATGTGCAGTACATGTCTAATGTACCGTTTAATCTAGAAATAAACACAAAAGACATGAAATCTAAGTGAAAAGTTAAAAAGGAAACGAAATGTACAGTAAAAATGAAAATAATAAGCAGAAACAAAAGCAAAGACAAAAACACGGCAATATTCACAGTACAATTTCCTGCTCTTGTTAACAGCAGTAAACTGATTCATAGTTACGTATTCGCTCCTTGTCTCTTGAGAGACATATGCCTGATGTATTATACAAGTATCAGCATGAAAAGTTGGGTTGAGAAACATTGGAGACATTCGAAAACCAAGGTTTGACTGTAGTCTGAGGAAATTTGTATTTGTTTCTTTAGTTCCTGTGGTCTTCTTTTGATTTTATGCAGTGTTTATCACCATCCAGTAGTAGTAAATGTCCCAGCTATATTTTGTAGGTTGTCACATAAGAGGGAAGTAAAGAGTCAATGCGTTCCATGAAAAGATACTGTACTTAAGGTGTCTGGCATATTGTAAATCAATTGAAGTACCTGGAAATACATATTTCCAGAGTGAATGAATTGGTTCTGTTTATTGCCAATGTTTAATAAGGTCAATTTTACTTGGCAGAGTGTCAATTGTTTCACATTAATATAGCTAAAGAAATTATTAATGGATAGAATTTGGGGTTTTTGTGTATCTTTGGGATATACAAAAGATATATCCCATGTAAAAGCAATGTGCAAGACTTTTGGTAAAAGTGATGTGCAAGAAGATGGAATTATCAATAGATGGCAAATGGTGGTTAGGTTAGCGTGACTGGGGCGGTGAAAAACGAGTAGAAATTGGTAATAGAGAGCTTAGATGTTTCTAATTTGCTTGAGGACTTGAAAACTGGTGACTTGGAATTACATATTCAAGAAGATTGTGTTGCCTATTGTCTGAAGATCTTTTTTTCCCCCTTGAAAAAGTCTGTTGGAATATACTAGAGATGGGGAAATTGAATTTCTGTAAGGAAATATTCAGGGGTTCTAATCTCTGAATAGTAATAGAATTGCTGTTGTGAGATACATGGAGGTTGACTGATAACTACACTCTAGGTAGTCACAGTGGTTTAAAATAAGAGTAGATAAAGTTTTATCAAGGAATATTTTGTTTTTGGCATCTTTTCACCTGATCTTTTTTTTTTCTTTCCAGTTTCGGCTTTGTGAGGAACCTTATCATCAAAGAAAATGGCCAGCAATGTTACCAACAAGACAGATCCTCGCTCCATGAACTCCCGTGTGTTCATTGGGAATCTCAATACTCTTGTGGTCAAGAAATCGGATGTGGAGGCTATCTTCTCAAAATATGGCAAAATTGTGGGTTGCTCTGTTCATAAGGGCTTTGCTTTCGTGCAATATGTTAATGAGAGAAATGCCCGAGCTGCTGTGGCAGGAGAGGATGGCAGAATGATTGCTGGCCAGGTTTTAGGTAAGATCTGAGTTACATTAATTTTTTTTCATTTATTATATAATTCAAATATGAGGATTTTTCTGTTGTGTGTGTTTTTTTTCCTCCCTCTACATCATTTTAGTCTTGAGATTTTCTGGGTATTGTGACTGATTTCAGCATAATAAATATGTTAGGTTTATAGATAAAATAGACTAAATATGGATTTTATTATGCCATTTTGTGTAGTTGAGACTAGATAATCATAAGTACTCTTGAGTAAGGTAGAGGAGATAGCAATGCTATTTCATAAGGTAATAGACGGCTATGTCTACTGTTCATAGTGAACTGGAGCAAGACAATATAGCTTAACTGCTCATGGGCTGCAGAGTCAGTTTACCTGGCTCTGCATTGAGGATCCAAGCTCTGTGTGCTAGGCAGCTTACATAGATTGGTTGAGCCTTATCTCATCTGTTAAAATGGAGATGATAGTATCTCAGTTTATTATTCTTACCTGAGGTAACTGTACTTGGGTTTGTCAAGAGAATTTAGATAAATTGAGAGGATTGAGATGATTCATGAAAAGCTTCTAGTGGAAGTCCAGAATGATATTAAAGATGTCTTTAAATCTGTTAGTTTCTCTATCCTTTCCTTTCCCATTTAAAACATTTATGACATTCAATGTAATTAAGAAATCTTTAGCATTTCCCTGCACTTTGAACTGATTGCTTCCTTGTGTCATTTATTTCTAACCCTAGTTGGTGTAATGGTCTAAAGTAGTGTTCTTCAATAGAAATAGAATGTGAGCCCTGTATGTGATTTTTGAATTTTTAAATAGCTATATTGAAAGTAAAGAAAAGGCCCTGGACAATTTGGCTCGGGTTAGATCGTTGGGCTGCAGTCTGGAGACCGGGTTAGGTTCCCACCAAGGGCGCGTACCTTGGTTACGGTTTGTCCCTGGCCCTGATTGGGTTGTGTGGATGGCAGCCACTCGGTGTCCCTTTCACATCAATGTTTCTCTCCCTCTCTTTCTCTTCCTCTCTTTCCCTCCCACTCTGTCTGAACAAATAATGGAAAAATGTCCTTAGGTGAGGATGAAAAAATAAAAGTAAAGAAAAGGATGTCAATTTTTTTTTAATCCTCACCTGAGGACAGTTTTGCATCCATCTTCAGATAGAGTGGAAGGGAGATGGGGGAAGAAAGAGAAACATGAATGTGAGAGAGACATGTTGAGTGGTTGCCATCCACACAACCCCATCTGGGGCCGGGGACAAACTACAACTGAATTACGTGCCCCTAGCGGAAACCGAACCCAGGACTCTCTGGTCCGAGAGCTGTTGCTCTAACCTCAGAGCCAAACCGGCCAGGGCAACATTAAATTTAATATATGATTGGGGTATTTTATCTTTTTTTTTTTAATTCCTCACCCAAGGACATTTTCTACTTATCATTAGAGTGGGAGGGAGGGAGAGGGAGAGAAACATCAACTGGTTGACTCCTGCACAACCCACACCTGCACCTGAGGGGTACATGCCCTTGACCGGAATCGAACCCGTAACTCTTTGGTCCACCAGCCGACGCTCTAACTGTTGAGCCAAACCGGCCAGGGCGGGGTTCAAGTTTTACATCCTGACCTGTCTGTGATAAAGTTCCCCATTAATTTGTCACCTAATTGTGATTATGAATGATATTTCTTAGGTAATACATTAAGGGTTGCAAAAAGTGGGTTTTCTAATTCCTTCTGCACTACTTAACTAATTTTTTTAAACTGAACACCTTCTCGTTAATTGATTTTTCTGAAATACTGTTTACATTGGAAAGTCAGGATAAATCTTTTCAAATTTTGCTGTAATTAATTGATCCACTAGCAACCTTTAAATACAGTCATTACTGCTCTGGCTGGTGTGGCTCAGAGTGTCCACCTGAGCAATGAAGAGTCATGGGTTCGATTCCTGGCCGGTTGCAGGTTTCAGTCCCTGGCTTGGTCAGAGTGTGTGTTGGAGGCAGCCAATCCACGTGTCTCTCTTAACATCGATGCCCCCCCCCCCTTCTTTTCCCTCCCTTCTGCACTCTAAAGAATCAATGCATTAACCAAAAATAAATTAATATAGCCATTACTTTTGTTGGTTCCATTATGAATGCATATTTTAAATAGGTGTGTTGCTAGTCCATTGCAAATCTTTTTCTTCTTTTAAAATATGTTTTTATTGGTTTGGGGGGGGCGCGGAGAGAGAGAAACAGATGTGAGAGAGATCGGCTTTCTCTTGTACTTCTCCTCCTGGGTGATCGAGCCTGAAACCTGGGCATGTGCCCTGACTGGGAATGGAACTAGGACCTCTGAGTCAATGAGATGACGCTCAATCCACTGAGCTACACCAGCCGGGTGTAAATCTTTTTTTTCTTAATGATTTGAGAGAGAGAGAAACATCACTTTGTTGTTCTACTTAATGATGCACTTAATGGTGGTTATTCATATATTCCCTGACCAGGTGTTGAATCCACAACCTGGGTATTATCTGGATGATGCTCTAATCAACTTAGCTAGCTGGACAGGGCCACAAATGATTCTTTATAGCTCAAAATATTTTCTTTGGCCAGTGGATCACCTTCAGATTGGTCTTCCTAATAGAGTGACGTATTGTTTCCTGTTTTCTGGCACTACACCTGGTATATATCTTGACCTAAACCTGGAATTTGCCACTTTTGCCCAAGAGCCTTGGCTCCTTTTATTTTTTATTATTATTATTTTTAATTTATTTTATATTATTTTTGTTACAGATGTTTCTCCTTTTTTCCCCATTGACAACCCTCCTCCCCATCCCCCCTGCCCCGTCCCCAGCTTTATTGTCCAACCCTGGCTTCTTTTAATGGGAATTGTTTAGAAACCACTATCTGTATATCGTCAGTTATTATTACTGAATTTTAATTGCTTCTGGCTAAATTCAGTGGTAGAATAGGAGGTACTTACACTTTTTTAAGAAAAGAAAACATACAATTTTATGTACACTTTGTGCCACAGCTTTAAAATAACCGTACCTGTATTTTTACTAAAATTAAGATTACTAAATGCAATTTTATTAATATCTATTCTATTCTGGGTATTAACTCAGTACTATAGTTTTGAATCACATGAAATAATTTTATAAAGTGTAATCAACTTTGACATAGTTTTGTTTTCATTTTTTTACATTTTAAAATTGCTTTTTTTTTTTGTTATGTAATTCTGTCTTTCCCTAGCCACTGTTGCTCAGTTGATTGGGTTTGTCCCATGCACCAAGAGGTCCCTTGGTTCAATTCCAGGTTAGGGCACATGCCCAGGTTGCTGGCTCTATCCCCAGTAGGGGCTGTGCAGGAGGCAGTCAATCAGTGTGTCTATTGATGTTTCTCTCTCTCTTTCCTTTGCTCTCTAAAAATCAATAGAAGACATACTTTTAAAAAGTTTAGTTGTATCTTTAATGTTATAAAAGTTTATAGTCAAAACTGAAAAAAAAGGTTGTTATAAACATTAAATGTTAAAAATTAGAGATGAATTTAGTGATTCAAGAACTAAATATTATTCATAAATTGTCTGTTGAACAGCTAGATGGTGTACTAAACATTTGTTTAATTGGTCACTTGATGAACTGAGTTTTGGAAAGCTAGCCTTTGACTATTTGGTTTTTGACAAAATGGCCTGTTTTGTTAACGAGGGGGCAAATGAACTCTTGTTTTGTAGGCAGTGGGTGACAGAAATAGTTGTCAGTGGAATAGGTGTTTTAAAAATTATATTTTATATGGAAATTAGGATTTTTTTTTTCTTTGCTCCTTTTTTTCACTTTTCTTGCTGTGTGTTTATGTAGCTGCATGTACCGGTTGTTAGGCATTTCTACGTAGTATTTCTTTTTTTTTTTTTTATCCTCACCTGAGGACATTTTTCCAATTTTTATTCAGATAGAGTGGGAGGGAGGGAGAGAGAGAGAGAAACATCAACGTGAAAGGGATACATCAAATGGTTGCCACCTGCACGACCCAATCAGGGCCGGGGACAAACTGCAACCGAGGTACGTGCCCTTAGTAGAAACCGAACCTGGGTCTCTCTGGAGCGTAGGCCGATGCTCTAACTGCTGAACCAAACCGGCCAGGGCTACATAGTATTTCTTTACAGGCATTTTTTAATGCAACTTGACAGCTAATTCTATTTGTAGGGATAATAAAAATTTGCCTTTGGGGAAATTTAAGGATACCATACTTCAATTGTATTAATTCATGAACTGCCATATGAAATCTCTGAGGTCATGCAATCATTTCTAATATATTTGTGCTAATTTAAAATGCACAGAATCATTCCCAGAAAGGCAACCATTAGTCATTGATACTTTTCTACTGTAATAGTACTAACTGAGTGAACAGAATGGGTGCTCTGAATTGTAAGAGTTTCAAGACAAATTTATGTGTTATAAATAACGAACACTATTTTGGTACAGGACAAAGGAATAGAAGATTGAGTTCTAGCTTTGTAAAAATGTTGAGCCTTTTTTACATGATAAGGACAGATAAATACAGTATTAGACCTTGTTGATTTATATGTCTTATGTATACTTTTAAAAGCTGTATTTTGTAATGCACCCCCACTCCTGATTTATATGACTATGTACACTTTAAAAAACCCCACAGAGTTGTCACTGGATTTTTTCCCCCTTTTTTCAGATATTAATCTGGCCGCAGAACCAAAAGTGAACCGAGGAAAAGCAGGTGTGAAACGATCTGCAGCGGAGATGTACGGGTCAGTACCAGAACACCCTTCTCCGTCCCCTCTACTCAGGTCCGGAACTTTATTATTTATAACTGCATTGTGTCCATCAGTGGGCATCTTCTCTATCTTAGTTTTTCTGGATATGGGGAGGGCTAAGTGTAGTATATTTTATCTGTAGAAAAGTAATGCTTTATTAATTTTTGTTAACTAACCTCCTTTTTGCCCGTTTCCCAGAGAATTGGAACTCCTTGTGATTTTTACTATTAAAGAGTAGATTGGTATTTGTGCCATAAATTAAAATTCTTCAAGAGGAGTTTAGCTTCTAAGAAGCTGGGGAGTAAGAAGGGAAAGAAGATGGCCTTAGAATGTTTAGTTTACTGTTGTAATTTTCAGTATTCTTTTATTTTATTTTATTTTTTTTAGCTATTATGTTGTGTGCTGAAATTTGAGCATACTTTCACCTAAATTTGGATATTTTTCCACTGCATGTTCAGTGGCTTAAGATGCTTAAAATTTAGTGATGTTATTTGAATAATTGGGAGTTGTTCCATGCTAATCTGTTGATCTATTTGTTGTGGTTCATTTGGCATGGGTTTTGGGTCTCCCCCCCTCCCATCTGCTGTTGTGAATTGACATTAACAGCTTCGAATTAATAGTCTTTGGTATTTATTTTTCAGCTCCTCTTTTGACTTGGACTATGACTTTCAACGGGATTATTATGACAGGTATGTTCACAGTGTTTTGTCTATCTTGGTTAAAAGCCACTTAGTGAGAACGATTTTATTTTTCTGTTTTGTATTAATGAACGTTCCCTTTTGTAATAATGAATAACACAAACATATTTCAAACAAAGTTTCCTGTTTGTGCCAAAACAAAATGAAAAGTATACTCCTGCAAATGGTCTGAGGTAGATTAGGTAAGGTGACATTTCTATTAAGTTCAAAGAATTAGTTCATATATCTTTAGAGCATGTTGGGACATGTCCAATATTTTCTGAACTAAAAGTTTTTCTTGAAACAGGTCAGTTTTCTTTTTGTTTTAATTTGTATGCCAAATAAAAGGACTCACTGACTTACCTAATGATGAAATGGAACTTAAATAGTAGTTCCATGTTCTCTTCATTATTTCCCTATTGCATACTTGGCACTTGACTTTGCATTGTATCGGTTTACAGCCAAACTAAAAAAAATGATTCTTAATCTTAAATATTCTGTAGTGACCTTTAAGAAAATCAACTAATACAAAATAAATAGAATATAATCGGTGTATGTAATGAATTAAAAATTCAAATTACTTTAGTGGGAGTTAAAGTTTGAGTATTAAGAGTTGTATTTGATTGGGGACCATAGTGATTAGTTCTAAAAGGTACGAAGGTTGGAATAAAGATCACGATTTCTTCTTGTGCCCTCAGAACAACATTAGTATTTGTTGGAGAGTCATGAGAAATAAAATTGGAAGATGTGTGGGTAGGGGGATAGGGTGTGCATGGCTTTGAATGATGGATTTAGAACTGATAGACAAATTCATCATTGGGGAATGGCATGATATGCCAAAAGGATTGGCATCATGTTGGCATTCTGATAATCTTCATGAAATGTTAAGGAAACATTAAGCATACTTGGTTTGGTACTTTTAAAATTATGCATTATATCGATGTATTGGAGCATACTCTCACATTGGACTTGATAAATCAGTGTAAGGTTTTCCTTTGTGTTTGAGAAATATCACCAAGACTATGGTAGCTAATTATTAAAAGGCCAGAGGAACACTACTGGAGAAATTGTTCGGATTTGCATTGTAAATACCCTTGAATGCCATAACATATAAGGTTTTATGATTTAAGTGTCTTTCATGCACCATCATGCATTTTTCTTCCAAGATTTTTTCATATTTTTATGCTTGAACACATATTTTGAAAAACAATGATTTTTTTTTTTTTTTTTTCAAAAACATTAAAATAGAAAAATGGCAGACCTTGGTTGTGGGAACAGATCTGGGAAAACTTGGTCACCAGTGGAGTGACTCGAAGGTCCTGAAGCCTAGTGAGTTTGTCTGAAGCAGCAGTTCTTTACCACCATCACCACCCCCTACACACAGAAATCTCTTGGCCACATTTAAAAAATAATTCATTCCCAACTACACCTGTAGGGATTTTAATGTCTTTTTTTTTTTTCCTCACCCGAGGACATTTTTCCATTTTTTGTTCAGATGGAGCGGGAGGGAGAGAGAGGAACAGAGAGAGAGAGAAACATCGATGTGAAGGGACACATCGAGTGGCTGCCACCCACATGACCAACCAGGGCCGGGGACAAACCAACCGAGGTACGTGCCCTTAGCGGGAACCGAACCCAGGTCTCTCGGGACCGCAGGCCGACGCTCTAACCGCTGAGCCAAACCGGCCAGGGCCACCTGTAGGGATTTTAACGAGTTGGTCTAGGTATACTCTTTATTGGTGTATTTTTTTTAAACTCTCAAGAAATTCTAATATCCAGGCAGAGTTGAGAATCACTGATAACAAAGAACATGGAAGTAGTTTTATTTTTGTGACTCTTACCCTATTTATTTGTCTTGACTCCTTAAAAAAAAATTTTTTTTTGCCCTGATCCGTTTGGCTCAGCAGTTAGAGCATTGGCCTGTGGTCCAGTGAGTCGCAGGTTTGATTCCAGTCAAGGGCACGTACCTGGGTTGTGGTTCAGCCCTGGCCCTGGGTCATGCAGGAGGCAGTCAGTTGATGTGTCTCTTTCACATCGATGTTTCTCTCTCTCTCTCTCTCTCTCTCTCTCTCTCTCTCTCTCTCTCTCTCTCCTGCCCCTTCCTCTCCCTCTCCCTTCCTCTCACTCTATCTGAGATAAATGTAAAAATATCCTCAGGTGAGGATTTAAAAGAAAAAATTTCCCCCCATTTATCTTCAGATAGAGTGGGAGGGAGGGAAGAAATGAGAGAGACACTTCGATTGGTTGCCTCCTATATGATCCGACCAGGGTCAGGATCCAAACCGCACCTGGGGTACCTGCCCTTGACCGGAATCGACCCTTGACTCTCTTTGGTCCTTGGGTTGACGCTCTTACTGTTGAACTAAAACCGGCTAGGGATAGAAGAGTTTTAATACACTTTATTTTTTGGATATAATTTGTGGGGTGTCATGAACTCCAGCTAAGAAACTCTTGTTTTAAATTGTATAAATTTTTAAGTATTCTTCCACTTTGATGAGAATAGTCCTGTGAAGATTTACTTTTATTGTCATGGTAAGGCAACAAAACGGACCATTCCTATCATCTCACTATAAATATGTTTGAAAAACAAATTGTTTTAAGTGAGGAAATTTGCAAAGCTTAATAAAAAGAGATACAGACAGCAAGGAATAGTGAAGAAATCTAGATGGTTGTAGAAATATCTTCAATTTTTTTTTACCACTGCCATTTGCTCCTAAAAATTGGTGGCAACACACTGTTTGCCTCACTCTTAAGTTTTGAGAGAGGTAAGAGGATATCTTTAATTATTCTTTTGATGTATTGCTATATATTATAAAGTGTCAGTTTATATCTTTCCCCTTCCATTCTAATCTAAGTCAATAGAAAAAGAGTTCTGAAGACTAAACGGAGCAAGAGGCCCTGGCCAGTTTGGCTCAGCGGTTAGAGCGTCGGCCTGCGGTCCGGAGAGACCCGGGTTCGGTTCCCGCTAAGGACACGTACTTCGGTTGCAGTTTGTCCCCGGCCCTGGTTGGTCATGCGGGTGGTAGCCACTCGATGTGTCCCTTCACATCGATGTTTCTCTCTCTCTCTCCCTTCCTCTCTCTCCTTCCCTTCCTCCCTCTCCCTCCCACTCTAGCTGTATAAAAAATGGAAAAATATCCTCGGGTGAGGATAAAAAAACACCAAAAAACCAAAAAAAAAATAAATGGAGCAAGAGAATAGTAAATGCTAAAGAGCTGATTCAAATATAGTAGTGAGGTCTGTGGTGGGGAAATGAACAGGCTTAGTGAAGAATGGAAAAACTACTCAGGAAAATGGTGTTTGTTTCCTCTCAGAAGTCCTTCTGAAGATACTTTATTTGCAAGGTTAAGATTTTTGTTATCATCCTAGTTAGTAATACATTGTGATCCTAAATCAACTATGTTGTATTCTTTATTAGAAGAAGATTGGAACCCTGGCTAGTATGACCCAGTTGGTTTGGGGCGTCATCCTTTACACCAAAATGGTGGTGGGTTCAATCCCCTTTGAGACACATACCCAGGTTTTGGTTTTGATCTCTGGGTTGCTGTAGGTGCTGGAGGCAACCGATCAGTTTTCTCTCTCATGTTGATCTTTCTCTCTCCCTCTCTCTAATACTAATTAATAAAAGAAGATCATGGGAAATTTACTAATGAGATATGAGAAAAACTGAATCTGACTGTAAATGGGGATTAAATCGTCTGCTTAGTCATTTCAGTCCTTTAGTCATGCATTTAAGAACATTAAATTCACATACTAAATATTTTAAGACAGATTTGACATTACTGTAGATGATTTCTTCATTATCCAGCTTTCTGAGAACTTGAGGTCTAATACCTATTATTATGTTTGGGGAGGCAGATGAAAGGAGCAGAGAAAAGAACGGCTGAAAAATCCAAGGACTTGTCATTTAGCAAAAAGATCATGACCAAAGTTGTATATGCACCCTGTTTTCTTTTCTTTCTTTCTTTTTTTTTTTAATCCTCATCTGAGGACATTTTTCCATTTTTTTGTTCAGATAGAGTGGGAGGGAGGGAGAGAGAGAGAGAGAGAGAGAGAGAGGGAGAGAGAAACAGAAACATTGACGTGAAAGGGACACATCAAGTGGCTGCCTCCCGCACGACCAACCAGGGCCGGGGACAGACTGCAATTGAGGTACATGCCCTTAGCAGGAACTGAACCTGGGTCTCCCCGGACTACAGGCCAATGCTCTAACCATTGAGCAAAACCGGCCAGGGCAGAGAGTTTTCGTTCTTTTTTTTTTTTTTTTGTGGTACATGTCCCTAGCGGGAACCGAATCCCTGGTCCACAGGCCGATGCTCAGCGGCTGAGCCAAACGAGTCAGGGCTGCACCCTATTTTCTTATCCCTAAAATGGAAATAATAGTGCTTACTAATGTAGCTGCTGTGAAGACAAAAGGAAATATAAAGATAAGACATTGCATTATAGATGACCCCAAAATATTCTTTTTAATCAGGAATTCCCAATCTTTTTCAGAGCATTAGGATTCCTGTTTATCAAACCCTCCACAGATTCTTATATGCTAATAATGTTAGTGGAAATTATACTTCTGAATTAGTATTTTATTAATCCAGTTAATACTGGCATACATTATTGCTGCTACATATTTTGTTGACACTAAATATCAAAATGAGAGGGAATCATGGACACTGCACAATCATGGACAATCCTCCCCTCAAAAACAAACACCTCCAGCATAACTAGGGTTCTTTATGTGTGACAACAAGTTTCTCAAACTAGTAAATGGTGAAACAAAGAATGGTTGGTATTTGTTTTCTAGACATCCTTTTTAATATTTCAACTTTTTTTTTTGCTTTGTATTTTGGAACATTTAAATTCAAATATACAGGGTGGGGCAGAACTAGGTTTAAAGTTGTGAAGATGCAAAACATTTTATTCTTACATTATTGATTATTGTGTTATTTTCCGTACAAACAGCTGTGAACCTACTTTTGCCCCATCTTGTATAACAGAATAGTCTATCAGTAAAAGAT